ACTTCATCAATGGCGCCTTTATATTCATTAGATTATTGGAGACATCATGTTCAAGTGCCCGATGCAGATTGAAGCTGCACTCCATGCAAGTAATGGAGTCCCTGTCTACATGTATGCGTTAGAGTATGTCACTGATATTTACGCTGGAATACCATGTAAGTAGTCATCTTCAAAATATGGTAGGCAAGCATAGTTGTAGCCATTAAAATTTTTAGAAGTCCCAACAACTTACAGAATGTGGTCGTGTGTGTCCTGCTCAGGTCACCGCAACTATGTCTGTGTCAGTTAGACTAAAATAACATTACTCACGTAAAATAGGACAGTCGCGACCTCATGCCTACTATATATATATATATATACACACACACATGTGGTTATATATATATATTGGTCAAATCTATAACCTTAGTATTTACCCTCTTGTGTCCCTTACTTCATCTTCGCATGCAGTTGTGCTGCATGCCCTGGAAACAGTGTACGTGTTTGGACGGCCGTTCAAAAACAACACATTCTGCTCTGATGCCGAGGCAGCCATTTGCCCTCACCCCGATGATTACGTCGAGGCCAACGAACGAGATCGAAATTTCAGTGACTGGATGATGGATTTGTGGACCAACTTTGCACAAAAGGGGTAATAATAAACTTAAAGTAGCAGCATCTCTTATGATTAGAATCTAGTAATCAATTGTAAGCTGCGTGTTGAATGATATGACTACTGACTGCGACACGATTATAACGTAGTCTGATAGAGGTTCAGTAGGTCATCTGCATCACTTTTCATATTCTTGTCTAATCCCTTTTGTATTTTGACTAACATTTAACAATAAACCCTTTCTATTTGTAACCTTCATTCTGCTGGATTGCATGACTGTAGATTACCAGGGCAGCATAAGCACACCCGTCCCCCTTCTTCCACGTCTACGTCCTACCGTGCTGTGCCCAGCGCCTATATCTAGCAGCAGGCTAACAACGAGCCGCTATCCGTCTCGTTACAGCGATCCGACGCCGGGGATTCTTGGCTACGGCGGCGTGAAGTGGCCCAAGTACGCGGAGACGCTGCTGAGCTCGACCAGCCGCGCCTACCTGCGTCTCGACGAGCTGTCGACGACGGCGCAGCACTTTGCGGCGCGCTCCTCCGAGTACTGGCACAGCTACCTCTACAAGCTGCAGAACATCACCGAGAGCCTGCCTGACGGGCCAGCGACGGCCACGACGCAAACGCCCTCTACGGAGACGACCGTGGAGACGACAACTTATGTTACTATCGGTCCGGTCGAGCCGAGCGAAGAGGATTTGTGGCCGCTCATTTGGACTCTCGTGGGGGTCGGCGGCGCTTTCCTGATACTAGCCATACTTGAGGGTGTGGCTCTAATTCTGATTTCTAAGTCTGTGAAGACAGGAGCCGTTGATGCGGGCGTCTACAAAAATGAAGTTTATCACAATGAGATATATGACATGTAGGCAGGCAGCGAGTTGAATCCTAATTGGCGTTAGGCTTCTGAGCTGTATATGCAACTAGGATGAAATCTTGACGTTTGCAATATTCAGCAAGATTTACTATATAGAATAAGCCAAATTTGTCAAAAATAATAGGCAGTTAAAAGTTGTTAAAATAGGAGCTGTCTATGGTTTTATGTGATATTGTGCTTGTGTTCAATTTAATCATATAACCGTACCTAAAGCTGTATCGCAGTTATATAAGTGCTTTAAATGTGTATTGTTGACTATAATGCATGTGTTCACAATTTCGAATAATACAAGCGTCTCAAAACTGAAATACTTTTCTAGTTTTTATCTTCACTTGCCCAATGCAATCGATATTTTGTTGTTTTTCCTCGGTCATATTTGTTTCTAATAAATGCGTGTCTGACTTAACGAACAGAATCTTGAAGATGGATGCAAGGCGTGATGCTAATAATCTGTTAGCTCTGTTGTGAAGAGACTCTCTTTGAGGAGGCAGGAGTAGGCAGGAATCGTTAGCTATCTCTTGAAGATGGCACACACTCTATAGCGTCATGTTGTTCCAGAAAACCTTCAATCTTTCAACGTAACGATTTAGTGGGGGTAGCGAATCAACAGTATTAAAGGAGCTTGGAAAGAAGCTATGTTAGTAGGCCTTGGGACCTGTGGTTCATTGGGATGAAAATATTTCATATCTAACTACTTCTGAGTATGTGTTGACTACCGGTGTATAATTTCAACAAAATGATATATGGATATATTTCGTTTAACTCCATACACTACGTCTCTTGTGCGACACTAGCGAAGACCAATGACAGCGACAAAATGTACGGAATCTGGATGTCGAGGAGATTGGGCTCACTCTTATTATTGAAGCGAGAAAAAACGCACATATTTCACGTAATTTATGGAGGCCTCAACTCCTGTGTATGTATTTTTTATTTTTCCAACAAAATGTGACTTCCCATAACAGATGGTAGGCATGTGCACACGTCTGACCCTATAATCTGTCGCCTGTTTTAAGGAGGTATGGAGGATTCTCCGCATAATAGTTAACAAAATGAGTCATTGACAATAACGAGTTTTATATATATAATTACTTCTGAGTGTGTGCTCTTTATAGGTGCATACTTTCAACGAAATTATATAATAAACAATTTTTGTTTAGCATTATACGGTATTTTTTTTATTAAATACACTAACTGCGGCTAACTGCAGTGAAAAATGTACGGAATCAGTACATGACATCGTGGTTCTCACTTGCCATTTTCTTTTCAAAATCCTAAATCCGCCACTCGTCATGCCTTTCGGAATTTCTTTGCACTGTAGCATAGGATAGGCAGAGGTTTGTAATTATACAATTTATTTCAAATCAATACAAATCATTTGATAAATTTATCATATATAGATAATTAAGTATTAAGTAATGTGTAACTAGTGTGGGGCAAAATCGCTGATCACTGGCGACAAACAATGCAGGCCTGCAATTTTGGAGGAATGCAGAAAAACATCGAGTTCGAGAGAGGGACTGTGGGGTAGGGAAAATCGTGATTAGTTTAAGTTCTAATAAATATCTTAATCTAAAAATTCAATAACTACATAATCCACGTAAATTTCAATGTAAATGCTATCAAATAAAGTCAAAAGTTCATAATATAGCAAACTTTATGAAACTTCTCTAACGAAGAAAGATTTTGAACAGTTTGATCATATTCTCGAAATATAATCTAGCATATTATTAAGCATGCTAAAATACATCATATATCATATCATGAGAGTCAATAAAACTACAAGTCATGACCCCTTTATGAAAATGTCTAGCAGACTAAGCTTTTGCTAATTTCATCTTATTCCATGCATTTGATCTTGCTTAACACTGATCATGTTAAAATACTGCATCATGGGGCATGGGGCTAGTTAAAAACCCCTGTGGCAATGTCGTTTCTGTATGA